AGAAAGCTAACTAACACATATGGTTGTGCTTTGATAGCCTATCTAATTATCACTAAGTCCTAAATATTTCTTCCTTGCTTTCCTTCACAGACTTGTACATTTTCCATTTCCTTCTATGCTCTATGTTTAGGGAAATTCTGTATCAAGTATACACTGAGGTTCTGGTTTGTTTTGGCCTGTGAGTATCCAGTCACTCCAGCACCATTTGCTGAACAGACATCCTCCACTTGATTAATTAATCGCCTCTACACCTTTACACCGCAAGATCAGCTGGGGCTGTGACATGGATCTGGCCTTTGGGGAAGTCTCATGTGTTGAATGCTTGGGTCCTAGGAAAGCAAGGTGTGGGGTGGGTTCTTTTAGAGGCAATGGGTTTGACAGTTCGACCTCATAAATGGAGTCAGGTCCCTGCGGGGCTGGCCTTGAAGGGCAGATCTAGTCTCTGACCACTTCCTTCACCTCTGCTTCCTGGCTGCCAGGAGGTGAGCAGCTCACCTATGCCGTGCATCTGCCTTGCCTGAAAAGTCCTGGAACCAGCAAGTACAGACCAGAACTTCCGAAACATGAGCCAAAATAAGTCTTTTCTTCTTCATTTTTTCCATAGCAGTGAGTAGCAGAGCTGGTGAGACTTGTGTGTAGCTAGCTCTGGGTTCGTTACTTGAACCCACAGATAAGATATATTCCTATTCCACTATCTGTAATCTACCTCAACTACTGTGGTTATATTATGCCTTGCACACAGGTAAAGTGGTCCTGTGCTTTCACCATTATTTTAGGTATTCTAAATCTCCCACCTTTCCATAGATTTTAGGATTCTCTCTCTCTCTCTCTCTCTCTCCCCCCCCTCTTGGATTTAGGAATTGAGTTAAGCTGGTATATCAATTAGGGAAGAATTTATAGCTCTACTATGTTGAATTCTGATGGTAGGTTCTACAGCACTTAGCCTTTTACATTTAATAGAACAAGAAGCACCTATTTGAAGAAACAATATATAAAGTGAACAGGAAATCTGCACCATTAAGATTAACTGGTCTCTGAATCCATTACTATCTGAGCTTCTAAAGGCAGAATTCACCCTGTGAGATTTCAAACCACTGAAGAAAGGCACATAAAACATCAGGAGAAGACAGAGAAATATAAAGCTCAGTTTAAATTTTTCCCATTCACGTCTCTTTTTTTTTTTCCTACTGTCTTTACCACAAATAAAATGTAGGGATTGCCATTATAACTTTCAATGAAATTTACACAGTTTTATGTAAAATGTTTTGGTTTTGAGGTGCTGATACTGGGACTTGAACTCAGGGCCTTTCTACTGTCCCATAGCCTCTTCATACGAGGCTAGTACTTTACCATTTGAGACACAGTTTTTTGGTGGTTAACTGGAGATAAGATTCTCACAGACTTTCCTGCACCTGCTGGCTTTGAACCATAATTCTCAGATCTCAACCTCCTGAGTTAGCTAGGGTTATAGGCATTAGTCACAGGCACCCAGATAAGTTATCTTTTAAAAAGCCACATTAAAGTTTTCTGACTATTTTCTTTTACATTGCAGAACATGTTAAAAACACAAAACAAGTTGGGCACCAGTGGCTCATGCCTGTAATTCTAGCTACTCGGCTAACATCTGAGGATTGAGGTTCAAAGCCAACTTGGGCAAGAAAGTCCATGAGCTTCTTATCTCTAATGAACCACCAGAAAATTGCAAGTGAAGCTGTGGTTCAAGTGGTAGAATGCTAATCTTGAGCAAAAGAGCTCAGGGACATCACCCAGAACCTGAGTTCAAGCCCCACAACTGACAAAAACAAATAAAAACAGCCTAGGCTTCTCTGCATCAAAACCATTCCCTAAGATATTGTGAAACAACATGTGTAAAAGGCCCCTCAAACCTTATGCATTTAAGATTCTGGACAGGTTTCTATCTAATGGTTCACCATGGTGATCATGTCTCGCCTCTAATACATTCCCTCACTCACAAGGGCTGTGGCTCACACCTGACAAAATGATCTTAAAAACTAGGTGTTTGGCATAACCTTAGCATAACATAGCTAGAATGCCATTCTTTACATTTTATCAAGTGTCCCTGATAGTTTGTGCAACTGAAAATCTAAAATTTCTAGCTCTGTAAGTTAGAAACTACATGTACTGCACAACCAAAAATCTGATTCAAAGGACACAGATTTAAATTTTGGAGGCACTCAGATTACAGAGGAAAATAATAATAATGCATGAGTGTTGAAAGTCTTCTGTAGTGTTTTGTACCTCACAGACCTGCATCCTGAGGGTGGGCATGGCTGGAGAGAAGTGGTGTAGTTCTGTTTAATTTTGTAAGGAGATGGAGGAGTTTGACTGTGCCTCAGTGACACCTTAATGCTGAAAACAATCAAGTAGCTTAAAAAGTGGAAATGAATGACCAGAAAAACCCTGTAGATTTCAACAATCCTATCCACAGTAACCCCAAATCACTAGGAAATGGATTGAAATGGGATGAGGAACTCTATAATGCATGGTACACAGATGGCAGTAAATATCTACACAAGGATTATGGAAACAGAAATAATTAAACTTAGGGCATGGATGGAGAAGAACGGGAATTCTGGAGACTTCCTATGTGTTATTTATACCTGAGAAAGTGAACATTCGGCACTTTAACTTCTGCTGTATTGAAAAGTATCTTTTGTGAACTTAAACTGTTTTATTGGTTGAGGGGTGATGTGGCTATGTAACTACCAGTGACTAGATCACAGAAGAGCACTAGTTAGTTTTAAGTTAGAAGTTTAACCTACAACTGGAAAATTGTTCATAAAACCACTGTTAATGTTATTGGGTTTTTTAGTTATTACTTTAGTGAAGAAAAATTATAGTAAAAATACTTTTAAAATCACTCTTAAGATATTTTATCAAACTCATGTTAGTACATCAAAGAGTAATTAAAACATTTTTTTGGTGTTTGGTATATCTAGGATTATACATATGTCGAACCACTTCATTAAAACAAGTCCAAATGTCAGGCATGGTGGCTCCCGCCTATAATCCTTGCTACTTAGGAGGTAGAGTCAAGGGATCAAAGTTTGAGGATAGCCTAGGTATAAACATTCATGTAATTTCGTCTCAATTAATGGCTGGGTGCTCTGGGAAAAGCACCACAGGGAGGCACAGTGTTGTGCACCTTTCTTTCCTTTTGGATACGACTAATTTCACCCATGGTGACAATTATAATTCATCTAATTCATTAAAAAGTAACCTAGCTAACTCAGGAGGCCGAGAGCTGAGGATCGCAGTTTGAAGCCAGCCTGGGCAGAAAAGTCTCTGTGAGACTCTTATTTCCAATTAACAACTCAAAAACTAGAAGTGGTGCTGTGATAGAGCACTAACCTTGATCACAAAGAGGTAAAGGGACAGCACCCAGGCCCTGAGTTCAAGCCTCACGACCAACCAAGGAAAAAAAAAAAAAAAGAAAGAAAGAAAAAAGAAGCAAGTGACATGGGTATAAGGACTGCATCCCAGGTAGAAGTGAGAACACACCTTGAAAATAACCAATGGAAAAAGGAGCTGGAGGCAAGGCTCAGGTAGTAAAGCGCCTGCCTTGCAATGCTCTGAGTTCAATCCTCTGTACATACAAAAAATAAAAAAAAATCAGGTACTGTATTCCTTAGAATCTTTAGGATCACAAGATACTATACTTGATGGATGTTTCACATTTCCTGCATTTTACAAGGAACTAGTTTCAGCTTAGACCCATGTATTTCTAATATGTAAGTGAAATTATCTGTCAAAAAATAAAATTAAGGAAATCTAATAAACAAGTTATAGTTGTTTACTATGATACCATAAAAATTGTAAGTATTTTGTTCTTTATTAAACATTCATTGAAATAATTTTGGCCTAAGATCAAAAAGAAGGTTGATGATTTCAAATATTTATATGATTGCTTAGTACTATACTTGAAATCTAACAGTCTTTGTAATCTCACAACAAGAAAATTTTTGTGCCCTACCTGTTAGGCACACCTCTAGCCCAGTCTGTCACTGATTATCTTATAGAGGGAGATTCATAGACTTTCCTTCGGGACTGGCCTTGAATTAAGATCCTCAGCCTCCTAAGCTAGGATTATGAGTCACTGGTGCTCAATAGCCTCACTTGGAAGCCTTATTTTTTTAATAACTTCTTGCCCCATTTTCTTTCTTCTCCACTGGTATTACAGTAAGAATTTTTTATAGGTTATTTTTTCAAATGTATCTTTTTTCTATTTTGGATCCTATACATTTTGTAACTCTCAATTCATGTAAGAATTTTTTTTAAGGTAGAGAAGGGCAAAGGAGAAAATAAAGATGAAATAAAAATAGGACGTCAGCTATGAAAAGAGAAAAGGAGACCAGATGTCAAATAAGACTAAAAAAAAAAAAAACCATGAAATAAAACTCAAAAAACAAGACCCAAAACCCTTTGAGTATTTGAAAAGAACTGCTTGCTATTTATGTTACTTGGTTTATTTCTGTTGAATTAAAAATATTTGGTGAGGGATGGACTTATAAATGCATTATTATATACCACATTCTTCCTCAAACAAGCTTAAATTTTTCTTAAGAAAGGGGAGGGTGTGCTGGGTTCAGAGGGCCCACACCTGTAATCATAGCTACTCAGGAAGCTGAAATGTGGAGCATTGTGGCTTGAGGCCAGCCTGGCAGAAAATCCAAGAAGGAGAAAGCCAGAAGTGAAGGAGTGCCTCAAGTGGTAGAACACCAGTTTTGAGTGAAAAAGCCAAGCAAGAGAGAGGCCCTGAGTTCAAGCCCCAGGACCGGTGTGTGAACATGCATGAGCATACCACCCCAACACACAATCAAAACTTTTAAACAAACATTAATGACCAAAGTCTGAAACAGGAAAATATACAATAATTTGGCATTTATGAAGTAAACACTTCAACTTTAAAAGGAATCCTTTGAAGCCAAATGTAAGTTCTTGGTAGAAACACCAGGATAGGGAGATTGTGGTCATTGTACCGTTTGAATTTGAAGCACCTCATGGGTTCTGGTGGTGGTGGCAGTTTTTGCAGCTGGTGTTACTTTCCTTTATAACTGCAGTGTCGTTTGGGTCTTTCCAAAATGAATGGCCTTTCTTTCTTGCCTCTCATTTCTTCTGGTAGTTTCTGAAGAAAGCGATCTTTACTGCAAAAGAAAAAAATAAATACAACCGCTAAACTGGAGAGTAAATTAGTTGCAACTATATTGGATACCTTTCTTTCCTTTTGGATATGACTAATTCCTCCCATGGTGACAATTATAATTCATCTAATTCATTAAGAAGTAACCTAGCTACTCAGGAGGCTGAGATCTGAGGATCGCAGTTTGAAGCCAGCTTGGGCAGAAAAGTCTCTGTGAGACTCTTATTTCCAATTAACCACTCAAAAACTGGAAGTGGTGCTGTGGTAGAGCAGTAGTCTTGAGCACAAAGAGGCTGAGGGACAGCACCTAGGCTCTGAGTTCAAGCCTCATGACCAACCAAAAAGAAAAAGAAAAAAAAAGTAACTTCCTGGAAGTGGAGCTGTGGCTCAAGTTTTAGAGCACTAGCTTTGAGCAAAAGAACTGAGTACCCAGGTCCAGCCCTAGGACCAGCACAAAAATCAACCAACCAACCAATTAATAAAACAAATAGAGTTTAAGAAGTAATTTCCCTATGTAGGTAAAGACCAAATGGAACCTTATACTTGATAAATCTCATGTCCTATCTAAGAACCAGGTACATGAATCACAACAACATAAAGCAACAGATTTGCTAGAACACCATTTAGCTGTTCTTGCAGACTTATTTTGCTAGCAGTAGATGGATAGTCACTGAATGAGAAATCATTAACCAAGACCTCACCTCTACAAAAATGACTCTTGCTGGGCACCAGTGAGTGGCTTACCAAAACCTCACCAAAATAAATGAGAAGAAATTACATCACTCAATATTACATATCTGGTCAGTGGCAGAAAAGCTTTAGGGAGAAAATGCAATTGATGCCAGTTTTCCTTTTATTTTTCAACTTTTATCCTTATACTTTTTCCCAAAACTCCACCCGACCCTCCCCATTACAGCCTCTCCCCCCCCCCCCCCCCCCCCCCCACCCCCGCCACCTCCCCCACCGCACCTTTGTGAGTCCAGAAAACCTTGCTTGGTTACAGTGGCTTGGCTATGATTGGATGGTGAACTTCTCCCTCAGCTCTTCCAATTTTCTTTTTGTATTTGAATATTTTAAAGGTGAACATTTGGTATATTTGTGTGATTTGCAGGCAAGATACTATGTGATTTGTAGACAACATATATATAGTTGGATCTCACAATTTTATCCAGTCAGAAAATTTTCTGGACTCTGAAGAGTTGAGTCAATTCATATTTAAACTCACTTCTGAAATGAAATCTGCCATTCTGATCTGTGTGGATGATTTCTATGATCATTCCTGCTGCTTTCCTCCTTCATTCTATAGGTCTCACACTCTGCTGCCCAGACCAGTCTGAAGTTCTTCAGCTCAGGCTTGTTTGAGTGGCCAACACTGCAGGCATGTGCCACCAAACCTTGCTTCTGACATAACCTTTGACACTATCTAATCTCTCAAAATCCTACAGGCTCAAATGTGTGCAATCTTGTTTACTTTGCTGTTTAACTTAAGAGTAGGGAGTGCTTTTGAGTAAAAATATCACTGAGCACTGAAAAAAACAAAGGTCTCCTAGGAAAAAGTTATAGTGAGCTTTTTATCCACCCAGTGTGGGGGGGGGGGGAGGAACAATCAAAAAATACCAGGCACCAGTGGCTCACGCTGGTAATCCTAGCTATCCCGGAGGCTGAGATCTGAGGATCACAGTTTGAAGCCAGCCCAGGCAGAAAAGTCCTTCAAATTCTTATCCACAATGAACCATCAAAAAAGCCAGAAGTGGAGCCAGCCTTGCGCAAAACAACTCAGGGATACCTCCTAGGCCCTGGGTTCAAGCCCCAGGACTGGCACACACGCGCGTGTGCGCACACACACACACATACACACACACACACAATTAAAATCAAAGACTAAGTGGAGCCACACAAATTATATGAAATTTAAATTTCATTGTCTAAAAATAAACATTTCAGCCAACTCATTTATTTCTGTATTGTCTATGGCCACTTCTGTACTACAAAGGCTGAGTTGATTAGCTGGCCCAGGACCAGACACCCACAATGTCTAAGAACACACAGTGGAGCCCATTACAATTAACATTTGACAATTTCTGATACAAAGTAAGTTCCACATGGCTACCCCCTAAAATTATAGGATATGTATTTCTAAACACTAAACCAATTGGTTCATTTGTATCCTTATGCCCACTGGTATTTATTCTTTTATGTTTCCACTGAACTGCTAATACATTAACAATTACCATAATAGGGAGATCAAGTTCATTTTCCTGATTTGTATCACACATCATTCTCTTCTTGTTAGAGTCTGATTTAAAGCTGCCACATGGCTCTTGGAAGAAAAAATGTTAAGGAATTGTTACAGTAAAGACAAGCTCATTTATAACAATAACGGGGGGGGGGAATTAATCAATGGTTAAGTATTAGGGAAGAAAAACTGTTTCCTGGGAACTTCTGATTTTGTTCAGGTGTTAGCATTAAAGCTCATCCTAGAGTGATTCCCCTTCTGACTTGGAGTAAATAGGTCCAGCATGGTCCCCCCTGTAAGCTGCCAGAGAGAGGACAAAACATAGGAGAGAACTATTTTCAGGGGCTGGGACGGTGGCTCAGTGGTAGAGTGCCTGCCTTGCATGCATGAGGCCCTGGGTTCGATTCCTTAGTACCATATAAGCAGAAAAAGCCAGAAATGGTGCTGTAGCTCAAGTGGTAGAGCATTAGCCTTGAACAAGAAGAGCTTAGGGACAGCACCCAGGCCTTGAGTTCAATGCACACAACAGATTGCCGAAAAAAAAAAAAGTCAAATAGAGAGAACTATTTTCAGACTCAGGCAGTCCAGGACTGAGTTCCCTTAGAAAAAGGTCAGTCCTCCCATCAGCCAGGCTCCTAGCCAGGAAGCGATTTACCACTTCAGTGGGGAGAAAGCCCCCACATGGAGCCTGGTAATCCTGCTAAACAGGGAGGCCAGGATGGCCAGAATCTAGGGAGGAGAGTTGAAGGGTTTCTTGAATGTTTAGCCACACATAAACTTTACCAAGAAAGGTAATACTGTTTTGAGAGCAAGGATGGAACTCCTAAAGACAGAAAAGTTACCAGAGTTATAACAGGAATCATTCTCAGAGCTGGCATGGAGCCAGGAATCCATGTTCTCTCCACTCAACATACAAAGATGGAAGTAAGGACCAGGCAGAGGGAACACACCAGCCACGGGGGTGATGGTGAAGGATGAGGGGGGGGAGGGGGGGAGGAGAAGAAGCCTGCAATACAGACTTTCCTAGCTAAGTCTCAAGCTAGCTTGTATTGTAAGCCTTGAAAGGAACAAACTAACAAAGAATTAAGGAAAAATGCCTCTAGGAAAAAGTCTAATATTTTTTAAGGGGACTCAACAAAACCAAGAATTCAAAAATGTCAATTTCACACATATTTGTCTTTTAGTTAAAAAAAAAATAAATGACTGGTGACTGGCATTCTAGGAAGCAGGAAAATCCATCAGTAGAGAGCAGAGATAGACCAAGAAATAACGGAAGAGCAAGCAAAGGCATTAGAAGGTCTGTGTTGATTATGCCCTATATTAAGATACAGGTGAGGACGCTGAAGGGTGACACTGATTAGGATGCACTATATTCATAAACCCCTTTGTTAATGGCACCTCCTTTGTACAATTTCTTAAAGATAATCAAAGAGATTTTTTAAAAGAATGATTAAAAAACAAATGAAAACAGGGATATGGTGAGTTATGAAATGGGTTGGTTTATTCAAACCAACCTCTACAGACAAAAATTCTAATAATGAAGGTGAAATTGCATTGGATGGACTAGCAATAACTTATATACTGAAGAAAAAAGGTAACTGTGAACTGACAGATTAAGTAATATAATTTATTTAAAACAAAGCTCAGATCATGGAAAAACTCTTATAAAAAGTGTTAGTTCATAAGAGAAGTGGAATACTATTCAATAATACATTGTAACTTACAAAGGCATATTAGAATCACAGAGCAAGAAGTAAAAAAGTACAAGAACAAAGAATAAGCCAGTGGAGCAAATAGTAACACCTCAAATGGACCAAAAGAGGAGATTAAATTAAGTCCTTAAGCCTAACTCAAAAGAAAGGTTAACCAAAAACAAATAAAATAGCAAGATGGTTAAATTCAACCATATCAAGAACACACTAACCATAGCTCATCTAAATAGTCCACTTAAAAGGCATATTAAGGGGTTGGGAAGGTGGCTCACTGGTAGAGTACTTGTCTTGCATGCATGAGGCCCTGGGTTCGATTCCTTAGCACTACAAAAGCAGAAAAAGCCAGAAGTGGTGCTGTGGCTCAAGTGGTAGAGTGCTAGCCTTGAGCTAAAGAGCTCAGGGACCGTGCCAAGGCCCAGAATTCAAGCTCCATGACTGGCATACACACACAAAAAAGGCATATTAAAAGGTCACAAATATAGCCAGGCACTGGTAGGTCATACCTGTAATCCTAGCTACTCAGGAGGATGAGATCTGAGGATCACAGTTCGAAGCCAGCCTGGGCAGGAAAGTCCATGAGACTCGTATCTCCAATAAACCACCAGAAAACTAGAAGTGGTGCTCAAGTGGTAGAGCCCTAGCCTTGAGCTGAAGAGCCCAGGGACAGAACCCAGGCCCAGAGTTCAAGCCCTATGACTGACAAAAAAAAAAGTCTCAAATATATACTAAGAATTGCATAGGAGAAACAGACTAAAAGTAAAAGGACATCAGTGGCTCCAGTCTGTCATCCTAGCTCCTGGGGAGACTGTGATCTGAGGATCACAGTTCAAAGCCAGTCCAAACCAGAAAGTTCGTGAGACTCTCATTTCCAGGTGACTACCAAGAAGCCAGAAGTGAAGCTGTGACTCAGGTGGTGGAGTACTAGCCTTGAGCACAAAAGCTCAGGGACAGTAATACCCAGGCCCTGAGTTCAAGCTCCAAAACCAGCACGAAAAAGAAAATTGAAATCTTAGGTTTAAAGAGTATCTTTACATCAGACAAGGTAGAAA